TGAGCGCAGCGAGCCAGCAGCTGTTTCGGATGCAGACCCTCTCCCCTCGTTTCGCACACAGCCTCCATTGACGCTCGGCGCGCTGAGCGCACCGGGGCGGCAGTTGTTTCGGATGCAGACTCTCTCCCCTCCCGCCGTACGCACCAAGGTCACTGCCCGTCGCCGCTTGGCGCTCAGCTGGGAGGGACCGTCCGTAAACTCTCTTATTTTTGCAGGAGTCAACCAAGGAGGAGGAAGAGAGCATGGAGGTCGTGCCGACAACACCGCCGCCGCCCTGCCCGCAGGGAGAAGAGTCCAGTAGCAGCAGCAGCAGGAACAGCAGCTGCAGTTGCGACAAATGCAGGAGCAGTAGCAGCGACAGCTCCACCACCAGCAGCAGCAGCTGCAGCAGCAACTGCACTGGGTGCAAAGCCAAGAGCGCCGGCGCAGATCATGATACCTCCTGGCTTAGCTACACCCCAGCAACTCCGCCGTGTTCACCTGCCGAGACTTCGGTTGGTGGGCAGCCCTGCACGCCGCCATCATCATGCGGATCAGCACTTGGCGAGGCGCTGGAGATGTGTGGCCCCAGCAACGACATAGGCGATCCTAAAGATATGTGCTGCGGGGCGAGCCATGACATGAGCGGATGTAACTGCTCGGTTATGCTGCAGGCACCGTCAGGCTGTGGCTCCGACAACGCGGTGGATATTGCTATGATGGACCTCGAGCTCTCCACCACCGTGGAGGAAGAAGATGTAAGTGTGCATTTAGGTCATAGCTGTGTGTGAGTGTATGTGTGGGCGGGCGGGCGGTACTTGTCGAGGTGGCGCAGGGCCGACAGGGAGGGCAGCGCCAGGGTGGAGCTGACGGTGTATGTGTGGGCGGGCGGTACATGTCGAGGTGGCGCAGGGCCGACAGGAAGGGCAGCGCCAGGGTGGAGCTGGTGGTGTATGTGTGGGCGGGCGGTACTCCTCGAGGTTGCGCAGGGCCGACAGGGAGGGCAGCGCCAGGGTGGTGTACGGGCACTACAGCTTATCGAGGTGCGTGTGTCTCATAACTTTTTGTTTTTTCCAGGACTGCCCCCTTGCCGCTGCATTACGGGATGATGACGTGCTCTCCGGGGCTACCACGGGCGAACATGACATAATGTACGGAGCAGGCAATGTAAGTAATTTTCCAAATGTTTTTTTTTTTTCCTCCTTCTTTTGAAAGATAAATTACTTTTTTCTTCTTCTGCAGTTGGAGCTCCCATTTCTATCATTCGAGGCTGGTGCACCCATGGACTTCAGTACGCCTGTCAAACAGCCACCCGTGCAGGGGTGCGCCCCACCCCCACCGCGCATGGCGCCACTTAACCCGGCTGCAGGCAGGGCGCCGACGGCCCCGCAGCGCCCAGGAAGGGCAAACCCTGATGGTAAGTTGTGTATGAGATCAACTTGTCCTACAGCTCATGCAGCCTGGTCATGCAA